TCTTTAATGACTAGAAACTACATGCGGAAAAACAGGAATTCGTGGTAGGTTTAAGATTAACATTTTCTAGTCCTCCACTTAACTTTATCTTTTTTTTCCTTTGAAATATTTTAACGGTTAAAGTATTCAATCCCCAGTGAGGAAAAGAAGCGAGTAACTCTTTAACCAACAATATTCATCAACTGTCAAATTTCTAGGCAAATCCTTTTAGCCCATTTTTTGAGATTAATGTTTTTGCCCATGAATGTGCAACCTGAATAAAGGAATCGTTGTAGAAGAGTAGTATTACAATTCTGTGTAGTTACATATAGACTGAATACACGAGGTCCCTTATTAACCCTTAAAGTGCTGAGCTTTTTTACAATGAATTCATACAAAAAAAAAATATGGAATTACAATTCTGATGTTTAGAGGCTAAGCTACCACACGCGTTTAAAGGGTTAAATGTTAAATGCTTTGTGAATAAGTCACGAAGGTCTCTTCTTCTTCGCTATAACAAAAATGTTGCTTCTAAAAGCTACTTCAGATTCTCGAGAAATGTATCGACCTTACTTCATTCAACAAACTCATCAATCCAGCACACATTTGTTATCACAGAATGAATTCACTGACCAGTCTAAATAATGGCATTGCTTTTTCATACATTCTAGCTATGGAACGAGTTCATTACCAAAGACAACAGAGATCTCCACTACGTGCATTTGATGCTTTATGTCAATATCACATAATTTTGCAAGGGAAATAATGTTTGATTAAAAGCTTTTCAACAGCATTCTTAAAGCCTGTTTAGTTAATAGGCTTGTAATTATAACGCTTATAATTGAAGCCGATAACAGAAACTTTGATTTTTCCTTTCCTTTCACTGCTTATGAGAACTTTATTGAACAGTCACAGGCACATTTATTGAACACACATACATACACAACACACACATAGATACACACACAATACCTAGTCGTATGAAGAACTGTTAAAGATACTCAGGTAGAGTTAGAATCCATCCATCCCACAGGCACTAGAACCAAACGGAGGGCCCTGGCCTGCTCTAGCACATCTTTCCATTCTGATCTATCCTGTACTTAACATCTCCATGCCCTGAGTATCACCCCTTGTAAAGTCAAGAGACCACATATACCCCCAGAGTATCACACTTGTTAGGTCAAGAGACCAAACATACCCCCAGAGTATCACACTTATAAAGTCAAGAGACCAAACATGTCTCAGAGTATCTTTACTAAGACAATCTAAATTTTAAATTTCAATGAGATTTTTTTTCGTAGCTACGTAACATAGCGACCAATATTTCACCCGAGACATTAATGTACAGCAGAAATATTTCAAACTCGCAAGACTACATGTACATTCAAGCTGACAGTAGGGCATAGAGGATACGGAGGACCAGACTTCAAGTTCCTAACTCAAATGAAATTATTGTATTGGACAAAAAAGAAAGGCGCCTGGAACCAACTGGTACAGAGTTCAAGCAAGGTGTGACCCTTAACACCTAACGACACGTTTGTAAACGCTTTTCCCTAACCTATATAAAGTACAACAAGATGTTTTTTTGTTTTTTGTTTTTATACTTTTAACGAGTGAAATGACATGACATTCTGTGGAAGCCCTAGTGACATAGTTTCCAGAGTGTGTTTGTTTTCACAGTGCATTGTTTACTTTTGTTTCTTATTTCGCGTAGATTTGACAGATTTAGGAAGTGTTGAAGACGCAAGCCGAATATATAAAAAGAAACTTCATAAAAGAGTTTTACTTATATTTTTTTTTTTGAGTCATTAAGTCCGTGGTGACACAAGAGTGAAGGAAAGAGATTTGACTTGAAATGGACGGGGGTCTCAAGTTTGAGATGAAGGGGAAGCGTTTTGCAATGAAAGGGAGGCAACATGTAATGAAGGGTATGTAACTTACATCAAGGCACTAATGTGCATCAGGGCCGGTCCTAGCGATTGCGGGACCCTATGCGAAACTAATTGCGCGGGGCCTAGTCTGGGTGGGAATAAGGAAAATATGTGAAAATTAAGATTTTGTATTAGAAAATAAAGTCGGCTTTGCATTTTATTCATTCTTTTTTAAGTACAAAATTGCGATCAAGTTAATTTTACTTTACCAATCTTGCAACCTATGACATATGTCAGTGACCATAAAAGTAAATACGGTAATGGAACTTCCGGTTATGGGGAAAATTCGTCCGATTATTACATTTTATTGCATGAACGCTGACACTGTCTTTTTTTTGTAATCGCGAGTAGGAATGGCGTTTTCCACAATGAATGACACACACAAATGATAAATTTGTCTATTTTTTATGAGTTTTCGGGAAATTTTAGTAAGTGCAGGTTATTTCCAGGAATTTTTCGTATATATTTTGCAATTAATAATTACACATAAAATTAGCGCGGGGCCTATAAAAGCGCGGGGCCCACTGCGACCGCACAGGTTGCAGTGGCCTAAGACCGACCCTGATGTGCATTGTTCCATTGCGATATTATATTATGTCCTGCTCGTGTTTTTATTGGAGGCGCGGTGGCTGAACGGTAAGGCGCTTCTGAACTGAGGGTCCTGGGTTCGAATCCTGGAATTTAGATTTTGGGATTTTTGGGCGTCTTTGAGTCCACCCTGCTTTAATGGGCACCTGACATTGGTTGGGGAAAGTAAAGGAGGTTGGTCGTTTCGCTGGCCACATGGCACCCTCGTTAACCGTGAGCTACAGAAAAAGATGATCTTCACATCATGTGCCCTATGTCTTTCTGCATAGTACGTAAAATTTAAAAACAAATGTTTTATTAGACCTGTTCAGGATGTTAAACAGGTGCATAACTGATGCATAAGATGGGAATGGCTGAGATTGAAAACTAAGTGCCACCCAACTGCTCCAGCTTCTAGGGTTGATCTGATATGAGGACTTAATAACATTACAGCATTGACAGTCGTTGACTTATAGCACCAAACTGCTGGTAGACAACTAAACCGCTGCAGCCGTATTATATTTGAACGTATAAAACGTGAACTTCCTTGAATGACTTCGTTGTGAACAATGTAGACAAATTGACCATAAAACGATGTGAAATAAACTGATATGAAATCTAACTCACCATAAAAAAACAAACAAAATCTTTACACTCTGACATCCTGGAGTCGTCTCTCTTTTACATTTGCATTAAGCTAGACGCCATTGTAATTTCATCATTCTCACTGCATAGCCACCAACCAATCGTGAACATCTTCTCATCGTCACCTTGGAAACAAATACACACACACATAACGAGTATACTCTACTCTGGACACCAAAATAGCTTTTTTCTTTAGGACTACAATCCTATTTCTTGTTTCTCGGTCTAGGCCGGCCTTGGGCATAAGCAAAATAGGCAGCTACCTAGGGCCTCCAATCGGTGTGAGTCCTCAAACTGGCTCAAACAGAACAAAATTGCTACAATTGGATCAAATCTCAAACATAGCAGAACTCTGTGACTTGTCTATTAGTATAAACGTAAATCTCTACTGTGGTTAAGATGCTATGCTAAGCTGCTAAGGCCATTTTACAAGTCTAAAGATTATATGTCAGTGCTAAATATTTCTTGTGGGCCATATAAGTGAATCTGGCCTTGGTGATGGCCATGGAGTCCATTTTGAAAAGACGAAAACATTTACGGTTGGACCTATTCGTGTATAGTCTGTGTGTGGTCTTCAGTTTTTTTTAGTGATTTTTAATTCCTTTTTTAAAAAAAAAAATGGCAATCATCTCAGAGGAAGTGTTCTAACCATAGTTCCATGTTCTAATCTCTACCTTCTTCTTTCCGTGTCTCATTTTCACAGCTACAGGCATCACAAAAATGACGTGTGCATTAATTAAGAAATGGTCAATAATATATTGTCTACAAATTTACAATAGTGATGTCTCCATGTGTAATTTTTTTTTCTTTTTACAATACCACTACCATATGAACAACATTAATATCAAACAGGTTGATGAATTTTCGGCTGCAAGCATCGTTCGGGTCTGCATGATGGAGAATATTTGTTATCTTGTAATGAATAATGCAGTGTGAAATAATTGCCGCAGTCTGTTGATTTTGAGATAAATGTTAGAAAATTATGTTCTAGTCGTGAAATCATTTAAGTTGATATTTTAGTATGTAATGTATACATTATCGATTGACACTCCATTTACTTTTTTTTTTTTTTAAATGTGAGCACTGAGCTTAGTTCTTTAGTTTTTATTATCGCATTCCAGGGGAAACTACAACCCTTATTCACAACAATAAAATAAAGTTGGTTACAGCCCTTTAACTAGAATTTTTATTTCCATCACATAAAAATTGGTTGTAAAAGGGTCTTATACAAATGTAGTGTTACGCCTTACAGTAAAGAAGCCAATTCTGTTTCATAGTAATTACCACTGTATGAGTATTGGAGGATTGAGTATTTTTTCAAATTTCGAAATATAACAAAATTTTATTTAAACCAGATCACAAGAAAAATTAGAGGCACAGTGGCTAGGTGGTTAAGCGCCTAATATTTTTACTTTTGGGATATTTAGGGTGCCTCTGAGTTCACCCAGCTCTAATGGGTACCTGACATTAGTTGGGGAAAAGTAAAGGCCATTGAGCACTGTGCTTGGCCACACGACACTCTTATTAACCAGGGGCACATCATATTTGCCCCATAGATCTCAATGTCTGAAAGGGGAACTTTACTTTACAAGGAAGATTAAGTAAAGTTGTGTTTTTAGTATATTTCCATGTGATATATATAGATATATCCTCAAGTTCAATATAAGCTACATAATTTGTTTTCAATGATACTCCACCTTGGTTTTACTACCCAGATTTAAGTGAATCCACAGAAGCTGTTGAAATAAAAGTTCTTAATCACTACAAAGATTTCAATTATAGGCACTAAGTATGGCAGTCCAGCACACACAAAAAAACTGTCAAAATATCCTAATACACACATCATGCACAACAGACTTCAAAATAACTCTCAACAACATTTGTAGATTTTTATCATAATAGTTTTATTATCACAATCATTTTCAGGAGAAGAACTTGTTAAAAACTGAGTTAATTTTCTGGGTTTAATTCACTGTCATTCTTTTAGTGGGAGTAGGGGGGGGGGGGGCAGTGTTCATTGTTTGAAAAGTAGGTATAGATAAAAGTATTTATATATATATATTTATCATTGTATTCACAAGCAGAGGAAAACAATAACAAACAAACAATGATGAGAAAATCAACAAAATAAATAAAGCCAATCTTCGCTGCAGTCAATTTCTAGGCTTCAATGAGTTAAAAAAGTTATTTCTGAATTTATTTTTGTTTTTCTATCAGAAAGTCCTTTAAAAAAAAACCTTTGATGAAAGGGATGTGACAACACTTTCAGACCAAAGTGATCCAAGTGTTTAAGTGTTTAGCTACATCTAGTTACATTAGTGTTAGGGTGTTACATTACAAGGGACATTACTATTAATGTAACTGCACACACAAGAGTGAACTAAATTTGAAGTAGTAATCTCCCTTCATAAACTGATAGACCCTAAAGTGTTTTATATTAAAGAAATTGGTTCCAGATTAATATGAAATTCAGCCTAATTTTGGAACTAATAAAATAATGGACAGTGTTTTTGAAAATCCTCAAAATAATTTTCAGCTTGAAATGAAATAAATTAAGAGAAGTGATTCTAAGTGATATTTGGTTAATGTGCAGCCATCAAGTAATGGGCAACTAATATTTGGTTAATCAATGCTATGGCTGAGTCATACAAGATGGATGCTAATCTACTGTTAATCAAGAATAGAGCAAAGCATAGAAAACAAAGATCTCTGTAACAAAATAATTCCAGCAAGTAAAATTTCATTACAGTTGAATCCAGATGCTTTTGTTTTATTATGTCAATCAATATTTCACATGTTTTACTTGTAATAATGCATTGAATCTAATCACATTTTTTACCACTTACATTAGAATCTATCAAAGATGATATATATATATATATATATATGTATATATATATAAATATATATATATATACATATTTGAATTTCTGAAATAATAATTCTATATTGAAGATACCAATTTTGTAACAGTCTTTTTTTTTAATTAAAATTCTATTATTATAAAACTGTTGTTTGTTACATAGATGCTCCACAACATGAGATAAAAACCCATCCAATGCATTATGCAGTCTAATTTTCTTTTTAAGTCTAAGACTAAATGTTTGACTCTGTTTTAGTTAGGATAAATTTAAAGTAATTAATAAATCTATAATGGTACATTTTCTTAATAAAAAGGCAGAAAATATTTCTATGATAAAAATCGTGTACAATTATGACACATCTTACGGATTGTGATTTGTCAACTTAGAGTGAAAGCTACAAATCACATCAGGATACTGTCATGAATAGAGAGAAGGCTTGCCCTCAACGGGTGTGTCAGAAATCAATTTGTTGTATTCACAAGAAAACAGAGTAACAAAGAAATTGATGTGGTAGATCAAACATGTGTAGGCCTGCCACTCAACAAGCTATTTACAAAGAAATTGATTTAACAACAGTAAAGTTTTTTTTTTTTTAAATGTTTAACGCCATCAAAAACAGGGTCTAGAACTTTGTAACAAAAAAAAACATGGAAAAAGAAAATTTTGTATACAAAAGAAATGAAACAATATAAAAATAAAAGTAAACTGCATACCTCGTTATGTGAAGCATCAAACACAATGTAGGTGAAACAAAAAATGAAAATGTGCCATATAACTAATTCCTGAAGATTCATCTTTTGTATTAGTCCATACAATTTGGTTCTTGACTGTAAAGCACAGACACAGACATTTCTTGATTTTGAAGAAAACTTCCAATTGACAAAAGTGCAAAGAGGATGGGGAGTGGGGAGACGAGGCAAAGAAAAGCTATTTTGGCGGGTGGACCATGGTCATCCAATTAAAATGAATGTATCTATTCAATTTTAAAACAAATAAGCTATTTTGTCTTTTAACAAAACGTAGCCCTAACCCTAACCCAACTGAATATTGTATTCAACACTATAGCAATATTGTTTAGTTTCTTTGGCATGTTCCTTCAGAAACGAAGATTATGGCATCCTAGCTCTAGCCTCCTGCATGACACCAGGGGTTGACAGTGGACAGGGTTTACACTTGAGCCATCCTGATGACAGCTCGAAGGGCAAACTACATATCCAGGCATCCATCAATATTGCTAGTTTTACAATAGAATAATTCGGTAGACTAGGTCAAACACATTTGGACACACCTACACTTGCTATGCCTCAGATAACGATACGTCATTAGGAAATCAAAACATTGGAACAAAAAAAAAATTAGGGTGAAAAACAAAAAATGTTAAAAAGTGATTGAAAGAATCTAATCAACAAAATCAACACACAAAAAAATGGCCACTTGAAAAAAGAACATAAACAAAATCAACACAGGATCAACAGAGGAGATGATGTTATGTCATCTACTGTGTAATAAAACACATGTCAGCCTTTGTCCAATAATTATATCTAGAGACTAAATGTCTTCATAATGGTTTCTCTAAATTGAATAATTCATTTTCAAAATGTTATAACAGCAATTCTTCACAAGAACATTTTAACGTGCATGAAGCCAAACTAATTGGTTGAATATATATGTAGTTTTTTTATACTTGAAATATAACAGATAATATCACACATGGGTGAACTCAACCAGTGGTCTTGTTTAACAGTTTACAAACTGCAGGAGAAAAAACAACAACAACAACCTAGGTTTCTTAATTCCACTGAGTTGTAGAGCTAGACCATTCAGAATAATTAAACAGTAAACAACACAAATATGCAGTTTAACTTCTGGCATTAGAAAAATCTGGCCGAAGTAACAAATACTGGGGTGTGCTGAATGTATATCAGGCAATGATTCTGTCAAGTCATGTGACCACATTGACATTACTTCAAACACTACATGGATGAGAAAAAAAGGGAGGTAGATCATACAAGTTCTGTGATAGCTGGGGTACAGAGTTGTTAAAAGTGCTCACTGTAAACAAGGAAAAGATCTGGTAGGTTGAAAGTGTCTTGTGATAACAACATGGCAGCAAGACTTCATTAGAATTATGGCTCTTCCTTTCTTAATTTTCAGTCCGCTCAAATTTGTCCGATGCAGAGCTGGCGTTGCTATGAGTAAATAAACTGTTGCTAAGCAATGCTCAACTTTGCCGTATGCCATCATTCAATGAAATGGAAAAATTTAGCAGCTTTAACTTTACTTTCTAAAAAAATCTGTTAATTTCCATGGCTTCTTTTCAATGGCTATAATCGTTTAGAAATGACAGAAGGAAAAAAAAACAAGAAAGGAGACAAAGAAATAGACAGACAATGTGAGACAGTGGAAAAATAAAACAGTGGCACAAGAGTCATTTAGTCACCTGAAAGCAGCAGTGTACTTCTTACACATCTAAATAGTGCCTCAATTTACAATCAGACACAATCGTCAACATTTCTATCACAATTATTACTTTTATATTTTTAACTTTTTCAACCATAACAAAAAAAAAAAAAAAACCGAAATGGAGAAAATGGGTCGAATAGCAAAGGTCAACATGGCAGTCCAGCTCCTGGACATGGTTAAGCTACGTACATATCACATTATATGAAAACACATTTTACAACTAAAGGAAAAATAAATTGTAAAATTTTTAACTTTCAAAAATCATCCATGTCAAATCACCTTTAACCTTTGAACCTGGATATAATATTTAAAAAATATAAAAATTTCATACCAGGAGCAAGAAAAAAAAAATATAATAAAGATTTTTGATGTAATAATAATTAAAAAAATAGACCAATGAGTAAGGTATTTTAAATGTTCATGTAAATATGTCTAGAGATTAGAAAAGACAATAGCATAAGGCTTTCGTTGGGCTGTTTAGTTTAATATACCAAGGCACCAAGCAATCAACAAAAGTTATAAACAGCAATACACATGTAGGACACTCTATGGCTACACTATAGCTGTGCACAGCAATGGAATCCTAGCACCCAGGTGTTGAGAAGTAATCAGAAAACTAGATTGCAAGACAATGAAAATATGCAACAGTGGCAGATAGAAACGTGTCAGGGTGACATCTAGTGCATCCAGTGGATCACGATGGTAACTTATCCAAGGACTATATCCATCTATTGGACTTAAATTAAGCTACTTGTTGAAGCTAATGGGTACTTATTGTCATTAAAGAGGGACAGCACAGGTGCAGGGATAAGTACTGTATTATAGAAAGGAGAAGTGATCCCAATACAGATAGAGAAGTGGTGTCAGAAGCAGCAGAACCATTCAAAGCTATTACCATAAACAAAATGTTAAGTTATGGGAATATTTATTACATACTAATTGTAATTCTCCACATTCTTGTCCACTTATTTTTTTTTAAGTAAAAAGTTTCTTTTTTTTAAAAAGTAACATGTTTAAAAACAACAACGAATCAGCAATCGCAAACACGACGGGATGTAAATATCGCTAGTACAGCCATATTTCACTGCTCTGGAACAATACTGACTTTACGAGTTGACACGTTACATAAGAGGCCTGGCCAGGGGAAACATTTAACACTTCGCGTTGAATGTCGCGGCGACCTTGTTTTCTGCCTCAGAAAGGCGGCATAATGAATCTTGGGCTCACTAATTAATGAACCTGTCACGCGTCAACATTACAGGGTGCCGAGGGGGGGGGGGGGTGTGTTCAAAGGAGTTGGGGGGGGGGGGAGAATCGTGAATGGGAAGAGGTCTATAGGGAGGGTGAAGTCATCCAGTGACTGTCACTCTTGTGGTTAAAAAAAAGCGGACCCCACCCCCAAACGATTTTCTGCTTAATGTCGTCTGCGTCCAGATTAAAGGTTCCCCCCCCCCCCACCCACCCGCGTTTGCACATCCTTCCCCCCCCTCCTTCTATGAGAGATGCGCATGAAACAGGTGGGGGCAATCAATTTAAAAACTGGATTACCCACACGGGGCACTCCAACGCACACACAAAAAAAAGAGTGTTAGAGAGTTGAGTGGAGGTCTGAGGTTCATCTTTAAAAAAAGCCCTCTCAAACCAGGTGGTCTCCCCTTGCTACTTCATCAATTGTTGTTTTCAATAGCTTATCAATCATTCAATCAATGACATACGACTGCAAAGAGGCGGCCTGATAAAGATAGTACATGTCCCCCGCCCCTCCATCAGAACATCACACACACATATATATAGAACACATACGCTAAAAAAATGCCTAACCGGTGTGCCACGGCCTAAAAGTGTGGAGGACCTGTGTAGCGCTTTAAGACTGAAGAGCGCAAGTTTGAAACGAATGTCTTCCTAACATAAGAAATGTATATATCTACAATATATCAGATAATGGCACAAAGGTTTAGAAAGATGATTTCATCTCTTAATGAATAACACTGATGCTATCGAATCAGTTCACAGCTAATCAGAAATAGATAGAACACCTTGTGAAATGAAAGCGGTACAAGTATATAATAGAATGACTAAATGTGTTGCATAGAAACCTTCCATGCTGACCAAATTCAGATTCCGGAGGCGGCATTAGGGGTAGCGAGTGGGGTGATCACCCCAGGCCCTGCGCTTTGGGAGACCCCTTGATAAACAGAAAGTTTTTGTCACATCAGCCCATCGTGCAACTATTTGTGGCCCTGCCACCTCGCTCAGGACCCCGCGCACTGCTAAGGCCGCCTTTTCCTAGCCTGGTGCATTCTATAGTATTAGTTATATTAGTTTCCAACACAATCACTCACCATTTCAAGTTCTTCTGTTTTTTAAAGGTGATTTAAAACGTTTTTCTGATGACAACGGGAAAATATGAAACTGACTGTTGGATAGCGATGTTAAAATACAACCGCATTCTTCGATAATGGTCGGACTTGAAGACAAGCTTTTATAGAGCAATGATTAACTCTTTCTCTCCTAACTGACGATACCAGCGTTGATTCCACCAGAATGTGGTAAATAATTACGGAGAGAAAGAGTTAACATGTTTATGATTGGATACAATTGTTACAATACGTAAGCACGTATTCAGTTATTTTGACAAAATCAAAATATCTAGTGTTCGTTCCACTTCATTTTACAAGAGGGGGGCCACACATCACATAGAAACCACGGTTTGGGCACCCGTTGAAGACAATCGGCCTACGGTGACAAAACATTTTCTTTATGACTATGTAAAGGGGTCCCTGGATCAAAACAAGTTTGAGAACCACTGGTTTAACCCTGGACAGTTAACTTGACCGATCCAGGTAGCGATGGTTATTTTATAAAGAGTCTTTTACAGATTGAAAGGGGGTTGAATCAAACACACACAAAAATACAGCCTCTCGATTCCTTCGAAAGCGGAGATGGTCGTTGGGGAAAACGAATGATTGACAGGGAGTGATTCATCATTAGATTGCAAGTGAGATGATCTTTAGGTAACAACTGACATGACG